ACTGAAACTCAAGAGACTGAGGAATGAGAATGAGTGGGCCCAGGTTTTGGTCAGTGTTTCCTGCCCGTGTCTTCTCCCGCTGGTCTTCAGCAGCACTGCCATGTTTCCTCTGGTTTCTTAGTTCTCTGGTCTCACTTTGCAAATCTTTTCGGCAGGTTCTTTTTTTTAGTCAACCTGTTTCCAAACCTCAGCTTTAGTTCTTGGCTTTACTTCCTCTCTAGTTATTCTTTCCTAGTAATGTCACCCAGACAAGTGTGTCTCAGCGCCTTTTCCATGTGTCTGACCTCCCAGGTTACAGCCCAGTGTCACCCAGTCAAGAGTGTCTCTGTGCCTTCTCCATGTGGCTGACCTCCCAAATTACAGCCAGTGTCACCCAGACAAGTGTGTCTCGGTGCCTTCTCAATGTGGCTGACCTCCCAGATTACAGCCCAGCGCTAATGCTTTATCTTGAACTTACTTATTGTCAGTCACCTACTTAACATTTCCTTTTGCACATTTGACAGGCATTTAAACCCAAAGGTCTGAGTTGCCTTTCTTCATATTCTTGCCCCATTTGGCCCTGTTTTCCTTCTGCCAGTAAAGGACAATCCCATTCTTACACTGACTTGGAATATCATCGACTTTTCTCTCTCATGTTTCATATTTTATCTGTCAGCAAATGATGTCATCTGAATTCTCAACTTACTGCCAAGACAAGACACCATCATCTCCCAGGGAGTGTCCTCTCAGCTAGCCCCTACCCTGGTGGCCTCCATTTCACTCTGCTCATGGTGGCCACAGGGATCCTGTTAGATGCATGTCAGATCGCATCATGCTCTTCTCAAAACCTCCAGTGGCTTCTGGCTTACTTCCAGCTCAAATCCAGGTCCTCATGTCAACAAATGACTCAGCCTTCTCCCAGCTTCCCTTGGCATCCTCTCCATCACTTTCTGCCCCACTTCTGCCAAGATCCAACTGCATGAGCCTCTTTTCCTCTCAAATGTAGCAGCCAAGCTCCTGTTAACGTCACCCTTCCCATTCTCTGAGTGAGCTCTTCCCAAATATCTGTGTGTTTCCTTTTTACCTTCAAATCTGAGTGCCATGGCCATCTAACACCACAACCTCTCGAGACTTACCATTCTGACAGTTTAATCTATTAGACTAGAACCTCTCCAAAGGCAGGGAGTTTTAACTGCTTTGCTCATGGTTCTATCGCCAGTGCCAACAACAGTGCCTGTAAGAGTAGACATCTAATTTACACCTGGATGACTGAATGGTAAGAATAACTGGAGTCCGTGTTTATAGAGAATTAACTGTTTACATATAGTTTACATAATTTTCTCTCATCTTGTAAGTGAAAAAAAAAATCTCGCTCTGCACTTGTTTCCCTTAGGAAAGTTGACTGACAGGTCCACTTAGGCTCGTTCAGCTACTGCACAATGATGTGTCACTGAGCTGTGCCCACAGAGCAGTGAACACTGCCTCCAAGTGACTGGCACCAGTGGCCCATGGTCTGTGCTGATAGGGATGCTGGCTGGGGCACAGTCACCAGAACTGTGATGAAGTATATACGTCGCTCTACTTTGTGAGCTGGGGTGGCAACTCAGTTGGTAAAGGGCTTTCTGCCCAAGCCTGAGGACCTGAGTTCCATTCCTGGCATCCATGCAAAAACCCAGGCAGAGCCACAAGCACTTGTAACCCTAGGGATGAGGAAGTGGAGATGGACAGATCCCTACAGGTTTTAGCCAACCTAATCAACCAGCCCCAGGTTCCAGTGAAAGACCCTGTATAAGAAAACAAGGTGAATGGGTCCTTAGGAATGATACCTGAGATTACCCCTGTCCTTCACATGCATGTGAAGGTGTGTGCATATATCCACGCACAGGGATACATATATCTTTCGTGCATGTGCGTGCACGCATACATTCACAGTCTCCTGCGCTCTCTCTCTCTCTCTCTCTCTCTCTCTCTCTCTCTCTCTCACACACACACACACACACAAATTTTATTTCTGAACTGAAAAGAACTGGCAAAAATCCCACAGTGTAATCTTTTAGACATTTCAGAAGCTAGTTAAAACACAAGCATTTATCCCCTTATATTTCTCTCAAAGAGCAAACCATAAAGTCCTAAAGAGAAGACTACAGATTCCAAGCCACAGAATTGCCCTTTCTTCAAATAAACTACATATAAATAGCAAACTGTCTATAAGCATAGAGTCCAGTTCACTTCTTCATCCACAAATGAACTAAAGGTCTACTCTTTGCAAGGTCTTCCTTGAATTTAATCATTAAATTACATCTACTCCACATTTATTGGGAATCCTATGGTTGCTCCAGCTTTGTCCTGGAGTCCCACATCCCCTTTATCACATGTAACTAGTGTGCCTTCCATTTCTTGCTTCTTCGGATCTTTGTTCCCCTGACAACCCCCACCTCCGGAACAGTCCCTCCATCTTTCATATATGTAGGATCTAGAATCTCACTCTGGTTTTCCTAGGACATGGCTGACCTGGGACAAGAAGCATACTCCAGATGTTTCTCCAGCCATAATGAAGCAGTATGGGGGCAGGTGTTTCTCTGGAGTGTTGTGGGAACTCCTTCAGCCAACAGCCAACTCCTTCAGCCAATAGTCTTTTAGATACCAGCCCACCTTGGGTGTGGTCTCAGGTACTATAAGTGCAGGTGAAAAGCTCGCAGACCATCTTTTCTGCTGGATTCGGTTCCTAGTTTCCAGCATACACAGAGGACTGTGGATTGCTACCCTTACTGTGAGTTTATCCTGAAATAACTAAACCTTTGTTATACTCCATTCCAGACTATTGTGGGACTCTTTGATACGCCTACACTGAAGTCTAACCTATCAAAGTTGAGCTTCAGGAAACCTTAGCAGTGACCACCTATTGGACAAGCCTATTAGTGTAAGCTGCTCCAACAACAAGGTATGCTCCATGCTGGGAACACTCTTTGGAATTCACTCCTATAAAGGGCAAGATGGAGAAGCTCTTAATTTAACAGGAGGCAACATAACCATGTGTCTCTGTGTATGGTTACTGGCTGTGAAGCAAGTTGTGAGTGTTACCAATTTCTACATGACACATCCTAACAAAACATGTATCCTGATTAATCCTGAGCAAGGGCAGAGAAAGAGCCAAGACGTCAACCCCTCTGTAAACTCCTCTGTGACTCACAGGCCAGCGAACTTTGTACTATTCCACTCAGTGCCACAAGCTAATCAATTGCCATGGTTCTATCACCAATGTAACAGAGGCTGCCATGCATTTTTTCCAGAAAAACCCTCAGTGGCATCGTTGCTCATTGTAATCATCTATCAAAGGCCCCATCTTCCAGCCTGCAAAACTACTTAGTGGAGCATGAAGGCTTCCTTGGGTTATTAAATTACGTCGTTACCAGTCCCTTGTTGTTTCTGTGTTTTAATTTTGTCTTTGTACCTTGAGCAGGGTTATTGGGAAGGGAGCAGTTGATAGGTTTATTACATCAGTCTTTGGAGTGAGAGAGCGAGAGCCTGCTTGCACCCCTGGCTGTCTTCTTCCTCCACCTTTTCTTCTCGTGCAGAATCTCCTCTGAGTCCCTCTCTGCTTAGAGGCAGATTCTGTCTTGCTACCCTCACCCGCATGGCTTTGGGCTCGAGATGCCCAATGTTGAAGAAAAATCTGTCTCTAAATCATGCTGCTTGAAAGGACAGAAACACAACTATTCAAATACAAAATGTAAGAGAAATGCTGAGCATAGGCGAAGACACAGGGTATTAGAGTGGCAAAGATCAAGGTCACAGGAAGAATGTACTGTTAGGATAATCATTTTGTACATGGTATAAAGACGGGGATCTATTTTATCTTACCTGCCTAAGACACCTTCTAATTGGCTTAACAAACAGTTGAAGGGCCAATAGCTAGGCAGGAAGATGATAGGTGGGACTTCTGGGCAGAGATATGAACTCTGGGAAAGAATCTGAGGCAGGAGATTCGCCAGCCAGGCACAGAGGAAGTTGGACATATGGTACTGAGGAGAGGCGATGAGCCACGTGGCAGAACATAGATTAATATAAAATGGTTAATTTAAATTAAATTAAGTTTTAAGAGCTGGTCTAAGCCAAGCATTCATAATTAATAAAAAAATCTGTGTCATTATTTGGGAGCTGGTGGTCCAAAGAAAGATCTATTATAATGTAGAGTAGTTAGAGCTAACCCAAAGGTTCTAAGACTCACCAGGCACCACAGTCTTTGGTTGACTCATCCCATGGCTCCTTAGTCAGTGGGTTTGGGAAGGTACCCAAGAGTTTGCATTTCTAAGTTCCAGCTGCCACCACTGATGCAGGGATCCCACTTGGAAAAGGGCTGGGCTAATCAGATTTAAGTCTGATTTTCCATGATTTGTTATCTTAAACATTTACAGTCACCTGTTGTTCCCATTTTTATCCTGCTCTAGTTTCTCCAGCAATCTGCCATGGGAAAACCCAGGGGAAGAGACTTGGCTTGGTGTTTATACTCTCAACGGATCCTGTGGAATTCCTCCGTGTTTGCTCCAGCCTTCCCAGGAGCACTTCCTCGGATCCTTGACTATAATTTACTGACCCAATGAGGATGCTCACTCTGTTCCTCTAGAGAAATCTGGGGGGAACCTGGAAGGCCTCTGCCAGTGCAGAGGGAATCCTGTCTAGGTACAGAGCTTCCCAAGAAGCTGGCTAGCGGAAACTGTTCCCGAGGAACAAGGACAGGATGTCTGCCCCACCCACCTTAAGGGACAGAGCCCACAGGAGAGGCAAGTTTTACCCTCCTTACACAAAGCTTCTAAATGGAATGTGAGATTTCTACATTAATAGCAGTTATTTCCCTGCTGACTAATGCCTATGAGTAGCAAATGACAGCAATCACTGAGAAGACTCTTCCTCCAAGCACATCAGCCATGGGCTAGAAAGGAAGGTTGGTGTGACACACCTTCTCCTGGCTCACTGCCCTTCCCAGCTCCCAGACCCCACTCAAAGAGAAGATAGCTGCTCACTGTTTCGGGGCTTGTCTTCATCCATGCCCTCGTCCTCGTTCTCAGGGTCAATGTCTTCTGCTTGGGTGATCCAATCCAGGTAGCCTTTCAGATCTTCTTCTAGCTGCTGCTTTTCTCGAAGCTTCTGGAAATCACCCCGAGCTTTGGCTTTCTCCCTCTCTTTGGAAAACTCTCTGGTGTGAGAGGGAGGGGAGTGGGTACACAGGGCAGCACAGAGGGCCACCCGGGAGGAAAGATGGAGAGAAGGAGAGACAAGGAGATATTAATTCTCAGTGTGGCAAACCCTGTGCGAATCACCCCCTTTCTACAGACAGCTATCTCCAGCACCCACTTCTGTCTTCACTCCCATAGGAGGGGAGCACTGAGAGCATGCTCTTGACCAGGCCAGGAAAATCTAAGGGGATGAGGGATGTTCACTCACTTTCTAGATCACAATTGTTTTGCCCGTGAGTAACAGCTATTCTCCAAAGCCTGGAGACCCCTTCCAAACGGTCACACTAATGCTCTCTACAACTAGGAAACATGTGCCACCCAGGATTAGGTCATACCTTTAAAAAAATGACAAGGCATCTTCAAATGACACAGATTATTAGGACCCAGTGATGACAGAGCCCACTTACTTGTACTGGGTCTCAGAGCCAATAATGTGTTCTTTCCCCAATTCTGGCTTCAGCGATGTCTCCTTCATAATATGATAACAGCTAAATTGGGAATATTTACACCATGAAAACTGGCCAATGTATGTAATTGATCAGGGTGTTTCCCCATAGAAGGGTGGTAAAGATTTACCAGTACCCCATTGTCTAGGGGACCAGTGGGCTTGACTTCTTCAATCTCTATTTTCATGGCTACAGTTCACTCTACTGTTCTTAGCATGCCTGGAGGGAGTTCAACCCACATGGCTACCCATAAGGATTCCAAACACAAGAAAATACCCTGTGGCCTGCCATCTAGGTTAAAGCAATCTATCTAGGATAGAAAAACATGTAAAACAAAGATGGTTTCAAAGTTAATGTTGCAGTTTAAAGCAATAATCATGAGATGTTGTAATTTGCCTGGGACTTGCTGGAAGAGCGAATCGTAGAGAACATTCTCTCCTCAGCTATATCTGACATAGGCCTTCCTTTCTCTAACTCGAAATTCATGTGGAGCAGAGGCAAGGCAAACAAGCCAGCTCCACAGCAGGTGTGAGCCCCTTCTTTCTGCGGGTAGCAGGAGAGTTTGGTTTCCTTGGGCTTTTGACCTATTGCAAATGGGGTCCTTGGTGGTAGGGTGGGGAAAAGGGTGTGCATGTGACTTCTCTGGTGTCTTGACTCAGCCCTGGGCTATGGTTCCTACCTCTCTTCTCTGGAAGAGTCTGATTCAGGACAAGCGGCAGGGGACCCAGCCTACAGAGCTTCGTGTAAAAGCTCGGTGCCACAGAGGAAAGGCACCTTGGAGGTCGCCATGTCACCAACAAACTTCGGGGGACAAAAGGCTCAGTGAAGCCCCGTGTCATACAGGGGAGGCTCTGTCACCTCATGCCACCTGCCTAGTGTTTGCATTCCATTCCTGGTATTTCAGAGCTTGGGCTTTAGCACTCTCGCCGTTGTGGTGAAACGGAGTTGAGGCAGGGAGGAGCCTTGGGAAGGTTTTCATTGGGAGAATCGGGGGCTCTCGAGCTAACGAATCTTCTTAACTTCCTCCTTCACAAGGCTCTGCTTCAGATTGAATTTTCTTCTCAAATCTGATTGACTCCAATTATAATCGGATTGAATTTGCTATCTCTTGGGCTTTTTGCCAACCAGTGGGCACTTTTACTTCCTTCCCAGAAAGTTGTATGCCAGGGAAGAGGCGCTGGATTGACAGATCACGGTGAAGGTAGGATCTGGCTTGGCTTGGCTCACCCTGCTTTTGCTTTTGGGGTGGTCATGGAAAGATGCCAGCCCCTTCTTGCCTTACATATGTTGAAACCTCCTTTACCTTAATCTCGCTCTCTAAAGACAACAGTTTCAGAGTGCCTACCCCCTCCGCATGGAAAGAAACAATAAACTAAAAACCTGGCACCTAGAGGATCATCTCCTGAAACCTTTCTGCTGTGCCCATGTGCTTTTCTTTGCCCATTTGTCCTAAAGTGGGTTTGAGTAAAATCACTAAGGGAGTCCTTTAGTTCTGGACAATTTCAGAGCGTTCCATCTCTGGTTTTAAGTTGCCCATCATCCCTCTTAAAGCCTTGGAAGAACAGGCGCCACATTCAACTGGAGTTAGGAAGCGGTCCTGGTCCTATTTCACAGCATCTGCCCCCGGAGTGGAAGCTCACAGTCTCCACCTCTGGAGCCACGGGAAACCCAAATAAACAGCCATAGGGACCAAAGGGGACCAGGGTGGCTGCATGTTTCCACAAGACTTGCCTGCTCTGCTCCTGTAAAAGAAGGACACACTGTTGAAAGGAGAGAGATGTGGCCCGAGCAGCAAGGCATCATGGGGCTTTAAGAGTACCATGGGCAGGCACTATCAAAATCCGGGCAGTCAGATTGTGGCTGCATGGAACTCCAGGCTGCACGTGGTGGTGGTGCACTGGTAACAGCCCCTGTCTCTTTCCTCTCCTGGATGCTGGCCATGTGACACTGATGCACTGGGTGGCAGCCTCTGGGTCTCTTTCCTCTCCTGGATGCCGGCCATATGCCTGCTCTGGAGTCTGAGCTGATGAAGACATGAAACCCCAGCCTGACAGGCTGTGCCCAGCTTAGGGGCCAGAGCCAGCAAGACCATCAGTCACTACTGTGGGATTTGTGACAAGGCAGGAATGCATCTGTCACTAGCAATGGCCAAGATAAGACATGGGAGGAGAGGTGGTCGGTGCTCGGTCCAGTAAAACATACAACAGCGTGTGGTTGGGGCTAATGACATGGGCCACGAGGTCCTTTGAAAATCAATACTGAATAGATAACAGTAACTTGACTATTTCTAAGTTTGCTAAGATTTGTTCACAACTCCCTAATCAATGTTCATGGCATGTTCAGTCATGTGTAGGCAGATGTGCATGTAATAGCAAAAAAAAAAAAAAAGTCACAGGCTTCCTGTTGAGGTCAGACAAGGTAAAGTGCTCTTCTTAATTCAGTTGCCATAATGTAAGCAAATTTCTTTAGGGTCAGTCTATTTAGTGCCATATCTCCTCTGTTTGTGTATTTTTGTGCTGTTTATCAGAGATTTTAATGTTGAAAAGGCCCCAAGCACAGCTCTGATGAGCAAGAAGGCTGTGACATGTCTTACAGAGAAAATGCGTGTTAGATGAGCCCATTCAGGCACGAGTTCCACTGCCGGTGGCTGTGAGTCTAATGTTGACGAATAGGTTACTAAGTCGTGGACAGAAACACATGTAGGGCTATGTTTTAACGGGTGGCCAAACGTAGCCAGATACTCACTAGCAGGAATCTAGCTCTGTACTTTGCATTGGCAATCGAGTATTCACCAGTACATTGTCCACCGTGAGCTTAGGGAACATAACCACTGAACAGCGAGAACCTAATTTTGTGTGGCCACCTCTCTTGCTCCTATCACAGAGCTGCTGGCCTCCTTCTTGCTTTGGGCCTTCTGTCTTGACAGTGGCATCATATTCCAGGAATGCTTTCAGGCTGTAACTCTCCCACCCATCAGGGACTCTGCTTTTTCAAGCAAGAGACAAGCTTGTCTCCTGATATGGAAAAGGATAGGGGCAGTTACCCAGGTAAGAGATCCTTGGTACAGACACATCGGAAGGCCCAGATTTCAGAGAACGGGCTTCCACTCCCCTCCCCACAGCTTCAAGTGCAGTTTCCAAAGCCTGATGGTCACTGTTGTTTGGGTTCTAATAGGCTGGGAGCTGCAATGTCTGGAAGAGAGTGCATTTCTAATCCAGTCATTACCTGTCCTGGCGCCAATCCTGTGCCTTGCATAGGGCAGATATGAGGGTCACTACATAACCCGGGAGATTTCTGAAATGAGTCCAAGAGACGAATGTTCTCTTCACACTATGTGGCCTCATTAGAAAGAAGCCTTTCTGGATATGTGAGGGTTGCATCTAAAGGATGCAGAGTCCTCAGGTAACCAAAATCTTGGGATTTCTACCTTTATAATAAAAACCATCTGGAATGCCAACCTTATCCTGAGCGGAACACACAGGGCACACTTTAGCCTTTCCTTGCTGGCTAAAGGACACAGTTTATGAGGTGAGTTACTTCATTGGGCTGAGAAAGAGGATTACTAATTGATGGATAGAGGGTTCACACCCCAACTCTTCGGTCACAATTGCCTCGGCTCTCAGAACCCATCAGGTTCTACAGAGCTTCCAATCTGGGCCAGCCAGGTAGCATTTTCCAGTGTGGACCTTTTCTGTCCCCTGGCTGTGTGCAGAAGCCTGTAGACTGTTTCTGCTATGATCTCCTTCCCCTGCTTACCTTTGTAGGCCTGGCCTTTACCACCTTACTCCCTCCTGTGGCTGGGGAGGGCAGGAGTAGCATGGACGCTAAAGGACGATACTATGGACCGACAACGTTCTGGCCTAACCCTCTGTCCTGGAATTTTCCCCATTAGAAGGGATGTGGCTTCCTTATCTAAACCTCATTCATTTCTTTTGTGAAATGGAAACACAAAGAGCATCCAGGTCAAGGAGTTGTCAAGGTTACTCAGTAACTTAATATATGAGATGTTCAGAGCACAGACCTTGGCACAGTGTGGGGAGACTGTTTGTGCTGTCCTTGGGATGGTGCAGTTCATGGGCTCTAAGACTGAATATTCTGGAAGGTTGATTTAATCAAAGTCTAATTGTTGAATGAGCGGGTGTTCTTCTGCATATTTGTCGTTAATTATTACACTGTTGTCTGGATTAATCAAGATGCCAACTTCAAACCATCATCAGTGTGGTCAACCAACAGGAGGTTGTTTCCAGGTTTGTCACTGTACAGGTTAGAGGCAACACATTTGGAGAAACTAGCTCTTGACTAAAATCCAGAAGGGGTAGCCGATAGCTTACAGACACCTGTCTGGCTGGGAAAAGAGTCCATGAACGCTTCTGGAGCTGCCAGAAGCATCTGTAACTTTGATAATGGCCGGGTACCAGAAGGTTCCAGAACAGACCAATTGAACTCTGAATTACAGACACAAAGGTTAAAGAGCCTCTGTGTTCCTATCCCATGTTCTGAAAAGAATTAAGCATCAGAATTGTGGGTTCTGCACATCTATCCCATTTGACCTAAATGAGACCAAGGTGTGATTTCAAAATTACCAGGCCTTCAGCAGCAGCAGCAGCAGTAGCAGCTCCTTTGACACCAGCAGGTTGGTCATTCCTTTGGGGATGGGGTGACAATGGCTGTGAGCTGAAGAAGGGGCCTTTGGAATCTAGTCCTCATTCTCCATATTGGATTCCTGGAGGAGTTTTACATGCTGAGATTTGGTTCCTAACATCTGAGGGAGGAAAATGATTTTTTTTTTTTTGGCTTAGAGCTTTGAACTACGTTAAAACTAGGCTCATTCAATACAGGCATAAGAAAATGGGGGCCAAATGAAGACTCCAGGCCCAGGTTTGCTGACTGCCAGGAAAGTGGCGTCTCTTGGCTCGTGTTACTCATCTTAAAAGAGAAGTCAAAGCAACCACTGCAGTTTCAGCACCGCCACTGACCGCAAACTAGCCCTCGTGCTAAGTATTCTTTCTACATGGCCATCCCTGTTCATTCTTCAGTGACAACCACCTAAGTGTTGATGTTATCTTCATTTTTTTTGACATGGGAAACGAAGGTTTAAAAAGACGAAGTTGCCAGATATTATACATCCAGCAAATACAGAGCTACGCTAGCCAAGTTTCTGTCTTCAAAGGGGATAATGAGTTTTATTTTTTTCCAATGCTGTCTGTGAGATTCACGTATAAACAACAGGCCATTTTCTTGTGTTGGAAGAGAAAAACGAGCCCCCCTGCCCCCTCCAGGCAGCTAACTAGGAGCTTGTATACCACTCCATCTCCCTCTCATCTTGCTCTCCTATGTGGTCTCACTCAGCAGAAGGCAAGATGCCATCCAGGGCCATGGGAGGGTAAGGAAGGAATAGGTTCCGCACTCCATTCTAGAATGAACCCCATGCCCTGGCCATGGTGGGAGACAGAGCACTCACTGCCCAGTCTGCAAAGACAGGAAGTCCCTAGGTGCCCGAGAAGACTATGAAAGCAGCTGGCCTGTCCAAGCAGAGCAGAAACAGATCGCCCGCTGCCTCCCCCTACTACAAAGTCAGTAGGAAGGTCCCCTAGTAGAGGGCCAGAGGGTCACCAGGAGCACTTAGGTGTCAGGTCTTGGCATGGCTGACATGAGCTAGTGAAAAAATAGGTGGCTGAGGAAACACCCCAGGTCTCCATGATGAGATGCTTGGGGTCACTTGATACCCCTGCCATGAGCCATTTTTTTTCACTTCTAATTGCATCTTAGCAAGGGCTGAAAACAGGTAGGTTTATATCTGTGGCCATCTAGCTAAATTAATAATTTAAAGAAAAATAAATTATGCCTCATTTATAACCTCATAACCTGTGGCTTTACACAGTTCCATTTCCTCTGCATTCAGAAAGGTAAAGATCAGTGATGGGCTGCTTGGCCTTGAAATGAGAATTAGTATTTGTTTGCATATATTTGTAATCATACACACACACACACACACACACACACACACACACACACACACAGTCATAGAGTTTTGGCTGGTCTTGTTTTTGACAATGCTGGGCCAAAACCCAAACTTCCTTCTCTGGCCTGTTCACTCAATAAAAGTGATTTCAAGTCTGTATTGTTTGCCTGCAGATAATAACAGGCTCAGGATATCAGGCCCATGTTTATTTTCAAGGGCACTGTGAGTGTTGTGTGTGTTTGAGAACCTTCTTACAGATTCCTGCTGTGAAGTCCTCCCCTCTCAAGGGTTTGTACTTTTCCTCCGTTTGAGTGAGCAGGGCACAAGGGAAGCAGCTGACTGCCTGAGCAGCTCTGGGGCTGGGGAGGTTGGTGTGTCTGTTGGGATAGGGGCGGGACTAGGAGTCTCTTCGCCAGGACCCACCACCCATACCAATGGGTTAACTCCTGTGCATCTGACCCTCTTCACAGTCAGGCCAGAGACCTTCACTTCAAGGCTCCTGAGTGACCCTTTCTCCCAGGTTCATCAGAGCCAGAAACAGAAGAGTGCCAGGAATAGCAGAAAGAATGAATAAAAATGAATGGAAAAATCAAGACCATTTCCTTGGTCCTGCTTACCCGCTAAGAACACCGAGAACCAAGTTAAGTACAAAAAATGACCCTATGATGATTAGTGTAACAAAATAGATCCAGGGCCAGTCCCTTCCTACGGCATCATTGACCTGGAAGAATGGAATGATAGTTAGTCAGGCACACACAGCAACCGAGCACGGCCAAGCGCCAGCCACCGGCTCCCCAGCGCTGATCTGAGCAGCGTGGGACCCGGGATCCTCAATGTGCAACTCAGAGGCCAAACCGCCTGTGCAGCCAATGGTCAGAATCTGTGCTTGCATGGAGAATTTTGTTTTTCCTGTTTTCCTGGGCCTGTTAGGGTCCTGTCTCTGAGGATTCTGCATTGACGCAGTGGAACCTGGGACCTTGCTCGGCTGCCTTGTATAGAGGACACAGAAATGGTCAGCTTACCCGCTCAGAACACCGAGAACCAGATTTAGAACGAAAAAGGATCCAAAGATGACCAGACTGACAAAATACACCCAGGGCAACTCATAGCCCATAGCGTCTTGCATCTGGAAAGATGAAGGAGAGTTAGGACAGAGCAAGCAAAGGACAGGGTGAGACAGACAGGCAGGGAGTGTGAGCAGACCCACAGGAAGCAGAGGGCAGACCCTGGCGTTAGGTAAGAGGGTCAGGATCTGCCATTATATTTGGTTTCATCCATACTCAAATTCTTTCCCTACAACTTTGACCTGAGCTATAAGGACCTGTGGGGTCATGGAGGGGGTGGGGGGAATCTTGCCTGAGCTGTAAGGACCTGTGGAGGGTCTCGAGGGCAGGGGGATCTTGCCTGACTTTTCCTGTTGTTTATCTTCTGGAAAAGAAATAGTTCCCCAGTGCTTTTTCTTCCTGCAGGTGGGTCATCTCACAAAACATTTGTTTTTCATTTTAGAATGGGCTTAGCTTATTTGGGCTTCTGTGGCCATTAAATCTTAAGATGTACCCTAAAGATGGCTGTGAAAAGGGTCAGCTTTACTGACCGGGCTGGAGACTGAAGCTTACATCACACAAGAAAGTGATCATCTTTCCTGGAGCCTAGATGGCATGACCTTGGTGCTTCACAAACAGTACCCTCCCTGGCTTACGTGTTGGAGAAGGGGCCTTGCCCCTGACACCACAGCCAAGTTGGAAGAGGTACCTAGGCTGCAACTGATGGGCTGATGGAGTTATTTCGTGGCAAGTCACAAATGCCGTCAGGAATCGGAGGTAATGGGAGACAGAACCGGCTCCTTTGGGCTGTGTGTGTGTGTGTGGGGGGGGGGTTCGCTGTGAGAAACCTCTTCAGACCTCCCTATCCGCTGACTTCCGCCCTCTCCCTCCAGCTCCTAGAGGTGGTTGTCAGATGCCCCCTAAACTTCTGGCAGAAGGGAGCGTGAATACAAGTCATAGTGTGTCTATCCTCCCCAACTTTCTTTTGGTCTTGATATTTCTTCAAGCCATAGAAACCCTAACTAAGACAGAGTCACCATGATTACTGCCTTCCACTTCCTCTGTGTAGTCTCAAGCAGACAATTTACTCTGGGCTTCTATCCTTCTCACTCAAATAAAGATTTGTGATGGTTAAAAAAAAAAAAAAAAAAAAAAACCTGCCTCAGATCCTCAAATCTAATTCTTCCAATGTTTTCCAAGCATTAAACATGCGTTACTTCCGGTTTACTGAAAATGAGCCCCAAGGTTGTCTTTTGTGAACCCAGCTTATAAACTCTAGACTCTAAGGTACCAGATTCCCGACTGACTACCATCAGCAGCTTTTGAAGGGTAGCCTTCAGTACCAGCACCATTAGGTGCTCATTCAGAAGTGCTCACACTCCATCTCCCTGGAGCTCTGGAGGTGGCAGCCCGCTCTTCCAAGCACTACAGGTTAACTGGATGTGGGCTACACGACGGAGCTTGTGGGCCCCTCACCCATACCATTGTTTTCATGCTACCAATTGCATATGGAAGGACATACTTGTGTATCTCCTCTACACTGGTCCCTATGACACTACATACTTGTGTATCTCCTCTACACTGGTCCCTATGACACTACATAATTGTGTATCTCCACTACACTGGGCTCAACGACAGTAGATTCCTGGGTCTTGTGGCGTGGCCTAGGAGCTCAGTGCGGTTAGCACATCTGCATTATGACTGCAGTCATGGTCATCCCAAGTGATCTTCCTAAGGAATAGGAAAATCTGATAACTGCTGCCTCAATTTGGTTTCTACCGTGGTACCTCAATTGCGTTATAGATGCACTGTTCTCGGTGTGATAGGACTAAAGATGGAGAGGCACTCAGACCTGCCTGCTCCAAACGGCTTGCTGTTTTTTTTTTTTTCTGGGCTTTCTTAAAGGGAATTTTATTCAGCGAGATAAATTTCAAAGCATTCTGTGACAAAAACCCCACGTAATATATTTTTTTTATGATCTTAATGTGTTCTTGATTTTTTCTGCTGTTTTATGGTGAGAGATATTGTGTAAAAAAAAAAGTGCCTGTGGCTCACTGGCTTGAGCTGAGTCAGTGAGGAAGAGTTCCCACACACGTCCACGTCGCAGTGAAATTCAATTTAACAATCTGTTGAGCATCCCCATTCCCACACGCCTTGCTCTAGTTTTTCCACAGCATTTATCACTTTACGGCTGCGTGGGCTCCTTACGTGTCACACTGGGTATTCGCTGTCTAGCTAGAGTGTAGGTTTCATGAGCACAGGTGGCCTTGGTTTGTTTAGGTCACCGGAGAATCCCAAGTGTCAGGAGTAGGGCTACAAAGGAGTTTGATAGGTACTCAGGGAATGTTTGAGCGGGATTCATGAACACAAGACCTGCTAGGTTTTGTATTGTAAATACGAAGTCCTCAACTGCAGGGAGCATAGGCATAAAATCAATGCTAAGCAAAGGGTGGGAGCTGCAATTGTAGGGGGAAATTAGAAGTGGAAGGCAGGAAGTGGAGAAGACAGCTGGATGGGGCCAGGTCAGGCAGGGCTGCGTGGACTTGGCATGGTGGCATCACCGACAGCAGAGGAAGAGGTGTAGCAGGAAGGAAGTCCGGGGTCCAAATGACCCTGTGATAACAATAGGTATCCCCTACCCCACCCCAGGACTTGGTCATTGTCAGAACAATGAACACAGCTGTTAAAAGCCTTCCTGGCCGTGGAATAGTTGCAAAGCAGAGTGAAGTATCCAGGTAAGGGGCAGTGTGGCTAGCAGAGGCGGGGCAGTCATCTTTAGATGGATGCTGTTCCCAGGGCCCTTCCTTGACCGGTCATAATCTGCCGAGCTAGGAGTGCAAAGGAAACCAGAACGGGGCACTAGAAGTATGTCTTCATGCTGGGAAGAGGAAGGCAAAGCAGTCAAGACAAGCAGGAGAGACGAAAGAGTACCAGGGAGAGAAGGGCAAGCAAGGGAGCCATGTACCCAGCCACGAGGCTTCGCCATGCCAGGGCCTGCACACGCCCCTGTAACATGGGACCTGCGCAGGAGTCTGGTGTCTGCGTTCACCAAGTGCTTGCTGTGGGATGTGCAAGAGGAGGGTGCACTGGACTTGAGGCTGTAGTAAAGGAACTGTGTGGAGAGCAACCTCAGCTGGGGTGCTAGGCACCTGCCAAGAGAGGTGTTCTAGGGTAACCTGGGTCTGGGGCAATGAGCATTTTTTTGTGTGTTTTTTCCCTCCCATTACTTTGCATTAATACAGGTCAGAAGTGGCTGTCCCTTTGCCTCTAAGTGCTTCTGCCATGTTTAGTGAGAACTGGGCGGGCAGGAAAAGCTACTGAGAATGAGAGATCCTCACCCGAAAACAGGCAAGCAGACACAGCGCTCGGGCACCGTCCTGCAGTGTGCCACCCCTACCCCCACTGGAGCCCATACCCAGGTTCAGTGTTGCCAACCTGCTCTAAGGAAGCTGGAGGAGGCCACTAGCCCGACTTCTGGATTTTCCCCCAAAACAGCCCTCCAGGCCCTTTTTGCCTTAGAGGTTCCCTTGGGTTCTTGATTAGCCTAAGGGTCACACATGACAAGGTAGCTTAGCTTCATCAGGAACTGCAGTGGAAAGCCCCCCCCCCCCAGCTGCCCTCTTTATCCCAGGCCACATACTTTCAGGCTGACCGGGTGGAGAGCACACACTGGTGGCCGTCTCCTAAGTGAGGTGATGTTGGAATGGCAGGTCATTGTCTCCAGTATGCAAGCAGATCTACTCACACCGAAAAGGGACCCAGCTTGCTGTCACCGTTATCCGGAGAGGCACACAGCGCAGGTCTTGGGACTGTTACAGCGGGGGCTCTGTTGCTTTCCTAAAGGAGGTGAGACAGCCTGGCTCCTCGAGCCCAAAGTCAGGCAGTTTTCAGGACCCCCCAGACCTGAGACAGAGCTTTCTTATTCGAGGCAGACCCAACAAAGGGAATCCTACAAGGAAAATACCAAAGACTTTTCTGACCCTAGCATCTAACTGGGTGACAGGACCCTGCCTTCTACCTTCAAACCAACCACTATCTCTTCCTTGGGGATGGGGGGTAAGGGTAGGCAATACCGCCACTGTGAACTTCCCAAGGCCTCTCTGATCCAAGTTAATTTCCACATCATATGTACTTCTTCCTCAGGAGAAGCCTTATGGATCTAGACACTAGATGGTTTCCACAAGTACCAAGAGAGGCCATTTTCTGTCCAAGAGGAGGTGCCAGTCAGAAAAGCCACAGTGCTTCCCACTCCGTGTCTCTGGTGTTCGTGCATGTCTTCAAGGCAATAGCTCAGTGTGTGGCTGCACTTGATGACCTGTGCTGCCTGGAACATGAGTGTCCATCGCACTGGTCACAGAATAAGGAGCAAGCTGAATACTGCCCCAGCCATGGCACTGACTCATTCTTTGAGGAAAACTCGCCAGGCAGCTGAAACAGTTAAGAGCTTCATCCAGGTAGGAAAAAAACAATAGATCCCAACACCAGGTTAGACAGCAAACCATCTGCATGTGTTCAAACAAACTCTGAAAGCAATGGGCTGGTGTCCTTACCTTGTGGGGAGCGTATGAGCAGAGAAGAGTGATATCCTAGTCTGAGCACCATGTTGGGAACCACTGACTTACAGATGGAAAGGCTGCCAGCAGTGTATGGTCCTCAATGATGCCTAAATCTACATCTCACAGCCACCAGACACTATGAGCAAGGACACTCTGGGTGCCACTGTTTTCCTGGGCTTCCTAACACACTAAAGCACACTTTAGTCCAGTATCCAAAGCTACCAATGATGTTTTCCCAAAGTATGGGCATCCGCTCTCTGGTTCCTTGTCCAGCCTCAGGACCCTCAGAGTGGTCTACCTCCTGCACAGCCTTGCCATTCTATCAGGGAGTCTTCCTTCTTTCTGAATCCTGCATGCCTTATATTCTGAACTCCTGGAAGGCAGGTCTCTGTCCCTGCTTCTGGGAACATAAGGAATGCTCAACAAATATGCTTTAAATTGAATTATTGATCTGTAAGAATTTGTCTAACACTGGTGAACTGAGTGAAATGGGTGGATGGATGGATGGATGGATGGATGGAGACTAACTGAGCAAGTCGACAGGGGCTTTGGGAGATGCTAACTCTTGGATACTGTGTTTATAATCCCCAGCATACTGGTTGGGTAGCAGATTCTCTCAGTTAATCAGCTATTTGGTTCAAAGGTTAAAAAAAATTCCACATTTGAAAAAAGACAAGAGAACCAATGGAAATGGTGCTTGATTCTAGACTCTTCCTTCTTTTGGTTCTTTAAAAAAAAAAAAAAACTTGGACATCCTGGGAGTAGATGGAGAAACTTTGGTTTAAAAAGCTATTTCCTAAAAAAACTATATGGGATCTTGAGTTTTGATCTAGTTTCTTTCCCCTAGAAATGTCTCTTGAGCTGACTGACTGGGTGTTTAAAATGAACCCAGCTCTGGGGGTTCCATTCATTGCTACACACGGGGGTCTTCACGGACCCTTTCAGGGTTCTCTAGACTTGTACTTTACACTTGAAGGGAAATGTGTCCTGAGCAGAAGACTCACACCCCACATTCCCTGGGAACTATCTCTGGTCTGGTTCTAACCCAGCAGTCTTCTAGGAACACTATGGAGACTCATCTGGTCCTATTTCTAGGGCTTCAAACTCAAAGGTGCATCATCACAGTATGGACAACTTCCTCTTCGGATACTAATGGGGACTAGTGGGGGCAGCTCTGAGGACTTTTATATTTAGGAAGCACTACGTTTGATGCTAAAACATGCTGAGATTTGAGTCTCCGGGTTAGTGATACAAACCTAGAGCTGAGGAGGAGAACTGCCTAAGGGGAAGAAGGGAGGAGAGAGAAAGAGAATAGAAAATGAAACGGCCATAGAAAGGTCAAAGTCATTAGAGGAATTGTCTGAGAGCAGGAGCGCTGAGCGAGGAGGAGCCGCTATCATGAATACCCACCAGGGAACACAGTCTCAACATATGTGTGCGTGCTCATGGGCACACGCAACTCTCATGTGCACACGTGTACATAGTCATAACCTGATTGTTTTGGAAAGGTGCCGGGAATGTCAGAATGAGAGTCATCCCCAGACCCTGGTGCTCTCTCACCTCTGACAGGTTTCCTGCCCTCGGCCTGAGCTCCATCACACCCCCGGGGGGGGGGGGAGAAAAGACAACACAGCTGCTGGAAATTGGTACTTACTGCTGTGTGCGTCTTCAGGCCCCACTCTGGCTGTCACTACGACAGCATCTGGCTGGCAGGGTATCCGTGACTAGCAGAAAAGCACACCAGGGCCATCAGCGAAGTAAACTATATTTATGCCCCCTGCCTGCACCTGTCCCCAGTCTGATGCACCAGCCGGCTTTCTGACAGCGGCTGAAGGCAGGGGCTGAGACTCCCATGGTAAGATGCTGGAGCCCAGGACCATACAGTTATAGGGTCTGTGGCCCACAGGTGGAAATCTGCAAAGAGACCTTTCTGTCCATGGCTCATCCAGACAGGAAATAAAAGATCCTTTGTGAAAAACAGAGGGGAGAGTTAGGGCCACTTGGGAAGCTGACCTGCTCTAAGAAGTGGAAGAATTTGCCTAACTATAGAGAACCCAACCTCCATTTCATTGTCTTTCAAGTTATAAAAAAAGTCAGGTTCTTATTGAAACCCAGGCTGAAAATGTCTCCCAGTGTTTCATTTTAGTTTGAGGTAGACGCAGATGACAACCAGTGTTGTCTGCCGACAGCATGTCACAACAGCCCCGCCCCAGCACAGGTTTCTGCGGTACTCAGCTCAGAATCTCGATATTCTATAGGCTGAGCTTCTTTGGCCGAATTGGATCTTTTTCATTACCAAATCCTCAGTGCCTCGAGCACCCTGGCTCACAAGGACACTCGTTTGGTGGGAACACGGTGCAGGCAAGCTGTAAGTAGTCACTTCAAGAGAGGTACACTCTTCACAGCAAGACTGGGCTCTGGCATGCTAACAGTGATGTCCAGGCTGGGAAGAGGAGGGCTTGGGGTTTACAGGAGAGGGTGCACGTGGAAGCAGCGGGAAGCTACATCTCCGGGCAGCTACAAGACTGCCTCGGATTCTGGGAGAAGTCAGCACTTCTCTTGGCCTTGCTTGTCTTTCTGGCTAGCGAACACAGGACGTTCTGTTGCTTCCCCCTCCCTCTACTTGCTCTAGTTTGCAGACAGGAGGATGCAGCCGCTTAGATGTTTTCACCAGGGCTACATGGATTTGACTATCTGAGAAACTTGAGAAGGGTGTTATTTTCAAGACTGGCAACACACTGTATTCACCCAAATTCCGAAAAGCAACACTGGATTCTGGCAAATCATCTCTCACGCTGAAGTGGAAAGCACCACAAAGATATTTTCTGTATTTTTTTCTAAACAAATAATGGACTCCATTCTGCCAGAATGAAGACAGCTCAAACATGGCCTGTGTATTCACGGGCTCTCCAAGGACTCAAAGGGGGGGGGGCAAAGCAGGCATGGATAGCTGCTAGGCCTTATGAGGGGCATTTTTAAAGTTAAAGGAGATATACTCAGGATGGGTTGGCACTCAGAACGTGTGTTTCTAAATGTGCACTGTACACTGAGCAGTTTCTGGCTGACAGCGAGAAGGACTTTGATGGAGAGGTTTAATATGTTAAAACTAACATGAGAATCAAAACAAGCAGCACGCCACAAGGCAATACAAATCAATAAAATGTCAGTTTTCTTTATGGTGTTTCCTTTTAGATCAGACCTGACTTTTCTCTGAGAAGTCCGCCTGCAGCTCCCTTTTAGGTGAGAGACAAGTGGAGGTTCAAAGCAGAAGGGATTACAGAGCAGGAAGAGGAGCTGGATAGAGTCCTTAGCCAGGTGTAGCCCAGTTCATCGGCATAGCATCAGCTGTGCACTAGCGGCCCAGACCATGTCCGGCAGCTAGAAATGACCCTCGCTAAGGCTGGTAGTGGGGCAACCCTTACAAAAGTGGACATGCTATGCTTTGTTTCTCAGGAAAGCACTGGAACAAATCAAAGACATTCATCAATCACCCCTCAGCTCGTGGCTGCATGTGTGGGGTCATGCATGCACCTGTAAGCTGAGGGTAGAAAGATGAGATGTCCAGACAGGCCTTCTTCCACATATCCACCCACTAGGGGCCCCATCTGCGTACCCAGTACAGCACATCAGTCCAGCCCTCCATGGTGATGCACTGGAACACCGTCAGCATGGCGAAGGCGAAGTTGTCGAAGTTGGTGATGCCATGCTTGGGCCCGTCCCACCCGGGCCTGCACACGGTCCCGTTCTGACACTGCCGCCCATGGCCTGTCTCCAAAGCACAAGGGGAAGGGTCCTCTTCCGCTGGAACATCTCCACCGCCAAGGAAATACGAGATGGAAGGAGGAGGGAAGGAGGGGCAATGATGGGCAGAAAATGGAGAAGAGAAGTTAGAAAGATAACAGGATAAGGCTTATGGGTAACCATAGCAGCAATCGCACACATTTCGCTCGGTGTCCTCACGTGGGGATTGAAAACACATGAGCCCAGACATTCATTTCAGGGGCACAATGACACGGGTAAGTACTTTCCCGCAAGTGTTGTGAACACTGCATTTTAACCACAACTGACTGCACAGACACTACACGTATTGTCTGTTCTGTCATAGCATGGTATCATGTCCAAGTGTCCAATCAGAAAGTGATCATGATGCCTCCATTTCAAGGCTAAGCTGTTCTGGAAAACAGAAGACAAGGTTAGGAATTCGGAGTTTGTGAAACCCAGGGTTTCATCTTGCAGCGACAGAAAGTAAAGGCAATAACAAAGAGAAGACCTGAGCTTGAACAAACAATTGCCTCTGACAATGGTGAAAATGCAACTCCAGAGACAGAATTTGCCTGTGGTTCTTCATTTAGGGATAATAAGATACCCAGAATCGTCGCTTCTTTTATAAGGATCCAAACCATCACAGTGTGATTATTTTGCCCATGAGACACAGGCTCTTTATGGAAGATGACGGGCTGATGGCTGTTGGTGTCTGTGGCTTCTAATTGAAACTGTTTACTTTCACGTAAAAGGGGGGCAGAGAAATGTTAACCCTTAACTGTGGGAGGATTCTTAGGAGAATGGAGGTGGGTGCTGAGGTTCAAATGGTGCCAGTATCTTCCTGGGGACAGCAGTGGCACCTATCACTCCATGTCCTTGTTTGTAGTCCAGTCTTGTTTCTGTCCCCAACTTCAAATAAGCCAAGTTGTTTTCTATCTTCACAGCTCGCCTTTCCTATACATAAACCCACACCTGAAGAGGCTGTTTGTACCCCGCATCCCTCTGCAGCACAGGGCTTCTGATCTGAACCACGCCGGGCATTCCAGTCTCGCCTGTTCCTCTGTATCGTTGAGCAGATCATGAGTATGTTTCACCGCATGCATTCTCCAGATGATGGGCATCTGGCGCACTCCCAGGCTTCGGCCATTCAGAATAAAGCTGCTTCCTGCCTTATTCTCTGCCTCATGCTATAGTCTGGGACCAAGGGGAAGAGGTCTACATTACTGGTCTCTGAGCTGTCTGAGGGTATCAAGTGTCCAAACCATTTCCTTATCCACTCACTGTCTTGCTTCCAGAGGCTACGTATTAAGGAAACTGAACGGAATTACCTCTAGTTACAACTTTTTATGGCCTTAAGATTGTCAAATCTTTAGAGATGTGGATTTAGGGCTGTTGGAAGTAGAAACATGAAAGTTATTTTCAAACCTAAATAATATGTTAAAAATAGCAAAGCAAAGCACCTTAAAAACGAGAGTTGAAAAATGGGGAAACCAAGAACCAAATAGATCATTAATTTCATTCTTATTCTGGAACCAGCTTCCTAGTGTCAGTGGGGACAAAGAGGCAATGGGAAGAGAAAGGGAAACTTCCATTTTGCTTGTGTTTATTTGTTGCATAAAGATGTCGGCTGCCTATTCATAATGTGGCTCCTAGGCTGATGGTCTAGCCTGGATTTTCAGTTCCTAAAACAGTAGAAACAGGGAAAGGACGGGGGCAGGGTACTGCCCAAGCCAGCTCTGAGTGTTCATGGGGAGGAAAACAGATCTGCTGAATTTATAAATCTATGTTAGAAGAAAATGGCACCGAGGGGCAGAGATCTCACAGCTAGAGGGAGGAACGGAATGGGCCTTGGGACGATCATCCACAGGCGCAAGGGCTACTGCGCTATTTTAAGTCTTCCCTGAACAATAAAAAAAAAAATCACAGAACAATTAAGAAGCAGTGATGATCCAGTAAAAATAGGGATCTATAAAAAGGAACACTTGAAAAATGTGAACACACAGATCAGCAGGTCCTAGTGACATACGCGCTGGGGTGAGGGAGGTAAGCTTAACCATAGGACGAGCTGCAGAGTCTTTCATGAGGTCCTGGATAGGAAAACAGGAGAAATAAAGCCATGTGGGCTATATACTTCACAACAGAACTGAAGAGAGTCGTCAGTGTGGAAAGACCAAATTAAGTCTTTGGTAAAATAAAGGAGGTTTTTAGAAACGGACTCAGCTTCAGCGAGAACGGAATCCTGAGGGAGCTTTTGGCCGTGTCCCAAGGAAAAACCAGCAAGACAACAGCAATTACATTTTTTAGGTCTCAACTTGAAGGACAAAATAGAATGGTAGTGATTTCATTGCAAGGTTTAGCCAACAAATTCCGTGTCAGTCTCAGGGGTAATTACCGTACCGAGCAGAGCTACCGAGTGCCCTGGCTCCAGATCCTCTGGACAGATGGGACACCAGAAACAAAAGGTATTGGCATATGGCAACATATCTGCTGAGCAACCAGGAGGGCGCCTTACAGTTGCTGGAGAGATTGGGAGAAAATAGCCTCTTCTGAGAACATCACCATTGGACACGAGACACAGAGAGAGAAGCCTCAAGGCGGAACAATAGCTCCTTGGAAGGCTCAAAAGCTTCCTTGCAGGGACCCCACAAGAAACATGGCTTAGAAAATTTACAAGAATGTAAAATTCAGTCTGTGAAATAGTATCAGTTTAAAAGGAAATATAAATGTACACATATATTCCATTAAAATTGTAACAAAGACTCATTAAAAGCCTTTTGTAAAATCTAAATATTGCCGAAAGTATGTTATTTTAATCTAAAAATCTAAAAAAAAACAACAACAAAAGCAAAAATAAACCAAACAAAAAGCCAAGCAAACAAAACATTCCACTGGTTCTATAAACACTGATGCTGGCTCTTTGTTTGCTTGTTTGTTTCTTTGGGAAACAAGAGTCTGTGCTGTGGGCAGGCAGTGTGAAGAGGAAGGAAGGGGGCAAATTCACCTGCTTTCTTCTGAAAGTAAGGTTGCAGCAGCCAGGAATCTTTGGCCTCTTTCCCAATAGTGGCTCTGACTCCTACTAAAGCCTCATGTCACCTTTCTGAGGGACATTACTCTCATTGCCCTGACATCCTGGCTCATTAGGGTTTCACCCAGGAGGCTAACTGGCTTCTGAAGTGGCTGAACGGGGGTTAAATCCATCACAAAATGATGTCACGAGTGTTGTTGAAGGATGCAGGAGGTGGTTCAGATGAATTTCCTGACCCTGTGAACTATCAAGGCCAGGATGTCCTAAAGTGGACCCCTTCAAAAGTTGAAGCCCAGTATGGTCTTCTTTCTAAGGGCAGACAAAGAATGTCTTTGGTACTGGAGGTGGCTTTCCACAGAACTTCTGGCTGTGCCTGAGAAAGAGGGTGCTGTCTGGTTTCCTTTGACTCTGATAATCATCATTTTCCTGTCATCGGAGGCCACTGAGGCCTGGTAACAAACCCCATGATTGCAACGATTATTCAAGGCTGCATTTTGCTCACAGCCTGGCAGGACCCTCACCAGCAGGAGAAGACATCCCTTTGCCATCTTTCCTTTAAGATGACAGAGATGGCTGAAGGTTTTAAGCAGCTCCCCAGGGCTCCGTGGTGCACCGCATCAGTGTCTGAAGGCATGCTCCAGTCGCTGTCTCTGGCTCTCTGACAGGATTTCTCCCTATTTCTTTGGTGAGTGTCCTACCATCAGTCATGGCCAAATTGATGGGGAATCGCTGGGATTCTGTAGCTCTGGGAGAGCCTGGTGAGTGTGGGTCATAGTGCATCCTTAAGGAGCTCCAACCAAGCGGCACCATTAACATTAGGTTACTAGTTCAGAATTAGCTACAGATCGGTTAGCTAAGTTACTGGTTTGGGGTTAGCTACAGATCAACTGAGAAAGGGGAAGGATCTGAATTAAAACGAGACACCGATCATTATGTTGGCTGGTATTCTTCAAGCGAGGTGTAATGTCCCAGAATTTTAGCAGAATGCAGGGACTTGGTCTTCCAATTAAAAATTATATATCAGCTAACATTTTAAGTTGTCACCAATTTCACAGTATTACAAGTCAAATAATTCTGAATTTCTCTTGAGAGTGAATAATTTATCTTACAAAGAATCTAATCTCTTTTTAAAATAAAATAATTCTGTAAATATAGATTTATAGGTGTGATTTGCCTTGCTGTGACCCTGTGATGACTGAGCAGCCTTGAAGACATCTGGCTAGTCTACCTAGTCACAAGACCCTTTGCATCCTAGGTAGTATCGTCGGTTCCTGGGTGCGAGCTTCGCGTTTCTGTCATACCGACTGGTGCCATCACCGGTCCTAACTTGCAGCTCGGGCTAGATGGGAGTGACGGGACACAGAGGAAGGGACCGCTGACATTACTACAGCACATGCGCCAGACAGGTGCTCTCCCTTTTCCTACAAAATGTCCAAATGAAAACGGCAGATCTGTTTTGAAAAATGAAATTGTAACAGCTAATAGCTTTGGAATCAAAGGTGTGCTGTAAACACATACATGTGTATCTATATGCACGTCTGTGGATGATCAGTGTGCCTGGTGCCCTCAGAAGCAGAAGAGGGTGCATGACCCCCCAGGAACGGGAGTTATAGAAGGCTGTGAGGCACCATGTGGGTGCTGGGAATTGAACCCAGGTCTTCTGGAGGACTCAGTGCTCTTCACCACTGAGCCATCTCCCTAGCCTCCTATTCAATTCTGCTGAAGACCAGGTTAAGACATGAGTTACTTTAGAGAGCAGTCTATAGCGTATCCAGCAAGCCAACACTCTGGTGCCATTTAACATGGTGCCTAATGAGCCAGCACTGCCTGTTAAATCCGATGATTTATGGAAGGAACACAAAGAGGGGAGGCTCAGAAAGGCAGGATTGATGGTTGTGATAATGGAGCTGAACCTTTTCCATGGGGAATACAGACTTCACTGGTGGCAAGGGGGTATTCAATGGCAGCCTCTTCACCCAGTCTGGGATAGGGAGGGGCCCTGGGGCTTCTGCCTTTAAATGGAGAAAAAATAGTAGCTGCAGAGGAGCCAAAGCCAGCTCTAGGAGGGTAGAGAGATGGGTGGTGATGGGAATTGGTGGCGAAGACTCCCCGAAGGGCTTGGATGCTGAACCACATTGGTGTACTGCTGGATATTCATGCCCATCAATTCACAGTGAAGCTCACATGCTCAGAATCTGCCTCAAGAGTGAGAAACCGGCGAAAGGTGGGCGCTTAATCGTTCACTGCTTCTCCAATTGGGTTGATCCTTTTCTGGGTGTATCACAGTGCTGGTCAAAGCTTACACCTGCTGTTTGAACAGAGATCTGCAGTAGTGAAAGCAGAGATTAGAAATGAGAGGGAAGAATGCCAACCCTGGCCTTTCATCGGATGCCTCATCCAGCTCCGTGGCACAGGCGGCTGCAGCAATTCGCTCCAAGGGAAGCAGCTATAAGGAGAGAGAGCAACCTCCTCTCGGGTACCCGCTTCCAAGAGCGAGCCCCGCCTCTTACCTGTTATGCCTTCCTGGTTGTAGCAAGTCTTGTGCATCTTCCCCATGAAGAGTTCCAGGCCGATGATGGCATAAATGATGATGACGAAGAGCACAAGGAGGGCAATGTGCAGCAGAGGCACCATGGCCTTGATGATGGAGTTCAGGACCACCTGGAGACCTGCGCAACAAAATCATCAATAGCAGCAACACGACCGCCACCTCCCCGTTTGAGCCAAGGCTGCCTAAGGTACCATGCTAACACGGCCTCCTGCAATCTCCTCGACAGCTCGAGCGGGAGCCAGGAGTCCCATGTTTTAGATGAGGGAAACAGAGTCTCGAGGTCACAGCCCATGAACGAAAGGGCAAGAATCTAAATTCAGGTTGGCTTGACGCCAACTCTGTCCTGGAGGCACATCCAAGTAGAAGGATCAGCAGATGCTGTACTTCCAAGGGGGAGAACATGTTGTTTTCATCTGTAGCTATCAAGATTTTAAATAGCCCATCTCTGAGACAGTGTGTTTTCTCCTGGAGCTTGGCACAATGAGAACTCACTGTGACTACCCACAGCCACACAGGACTTAGTCATCTCCCGGGCTTCTCAGTGGTGGATTACTAGAGCCGATCATCAGCCCACCTGCTCTCAAACACAGATCAGCCTGATGGGGAGGAATCCGGGAGGCTGTGATTTCCAGTGAAGAAATTATCTCACCAGCAGGATACAGCTGACAACCACTGTATCAGGGCCAACGGTGTATCCCTAATGGTACCTTCCTAGTGGTAAATAAGGGACCACTGCATAGTCCACAGTTCTACCAGGGGAAGCATCACCTGATCGTCACACTCAAAAGCTCCACAGGAAGGGACTTCTTATTTAACAGCATGGGGCTTCAGTTTGGGGACGAGGAAAGTTCTGCAGATCAGATGAACTGGCGCAAATACACAGTGTGCCCCTGGGCCACACTCGCAAAAGCAGTTAACACAGAAAACTTTGTCCTGGACGTATTATCAAGAAAAATAAACTAAAAGTCCCCAGAAACCATTGGGAGGCAGAGGAGTGAATGGACAGTCCCGCGGGGAACACTCATCAGGCTGCCACAGAGTCGGCAGGGCAGAGCGATGGGCATGTAGTGGCTGCACCAAGGATGCTCACTAGGAATGCTACCAGGAAGGGGCTGTGACCGGACAACGAGGTGACAATAACAGGTTACTCTGAAGCTTGTGGCAGTCCCTGAGCACTTTCTATGGACAGCAAGCACACTAGGAGTCTGTGTTCCAGGAGAGCAGGAAGAAGACAGCTGAGAGAACCGTCCTGAGGGTGCCTGCAGCAGCCAGAGGAGAGCAAAGCCCATGCAAGTCCCACACGGGGTTGGCACGTTTATAGCATCTTCATAGGACTTGCCATCTTCCCCGGTCCTCTCAGACACCAAGGTCTTTCTGTACCGTTCTTCGGCATTGCTGTGGCCAGTAACCCTGGATTACCACCGTTGGCCACATTTCTCAAGTTCCTAAGCTGTCACTAAAGTTCTGAGCTGCAGCCAGTGATTTCCACAAGACTAATTAGAAGAACGCTCCCCAGATAGCAAGCCAAGCTGAGGAAAAGGAAAAAAAATTAAAAAAGAAAGCTAGAATAATTTTACCTGAGAATTAATGTGAGCGCTTCATAGGCTCCCATTAGATCCAAACGATTCCATTAATTAGCAAGTTGTACACACATTAGCATTAAAGTTTGCCAAGCCATGAAGAAAGCCGAGTCGCAAAGCAACTTCCAGGAGAGGCTTATGGGTGCTGAGGAGTCTTCTAAGTGCTCCCGACAGGAGCGAAGAACCCCATCTTGGCTGCCAGGCCACCAGGTCTCCAGCACTAGCCTCCAAGCGCCAAGAAACAGACAGGCGACAGACATAGAAGGAGATGCGCTCTGGGTGGAAGCCAGACAGGTCACATAAAAAGCCACTCTGGAACCTTCAGTGCCTCTCAGGAGGAAGGCCAGATTTCCTAGAGCTCCGGAGACACTGTAGGGTCCACTACCCCCCTTCTCCATGCAGTCTCTGCCCTGTCCCGCTCTCTGAATGTCAGACAAATAGCATTTCTCTTATACTTAAAGACTCCTCAGCCACATGTCACAGAACATGTGGTACCCGAGGATAAAAATGGAGCTAGAAGTACCTATTGCTTCCCGGCATTATGACTGTCAGAACACTGACCAAGACGTGCATCCCTCACACGACTGTGGTGCTTCCCACAACAATCAAAACGTGACACACAGTTACAGACGGTGAGTAATATTTAAGATGACAGTAGATGGCTGTGTGACTTCTTAAGGCATTTATTGGACTGTCAGAGTTTGATTCCTGGGAGTCACATGGCAGAAAGAGAACTGACACTCACAAGTTGCCCTCTAATCTCCACGTGTGTGCTGCGGGGCACGCACGCACACACACATATACACACACACACACACGCACGCATAGACAAGCAATTCACAAGTAAGTAAAATGATGTGCTTAATTATTTTGAAATGCTCATGATAAAACGGTGTGGTGACAGTAGTAAGGACAGCATCTTGTACCTGTTCCTTCTCTGTACCCACAGGCCACCTCCAGCAACTGGCTTATACTAATGAGATGTGTGCAAGTGCCCTGCAGGACATTCACTGTACGAGGGGAACCCCTAGTGTGCAGTTCTCAGACACAGCACCGTTAAGGATGGGGCAGCTGTACTGCCACCCCACAGCACAGATACAGGTACCATTCCCTCCACTCAGAATGCCTTATCTGAATTTTCCCTGGCACCCATTCTCCAGCTCCCTCCCCAAGAATCCTCCAAACCCCTCATCAGAGCCATTTCACGTGAATTGTATGTTGTGAATGCTATGTGAGTTAAAGGGATTTAAAACATTTACATCTGTCTTTCCACTTAGGTGGCATTCTGTGAAGATAGACCGTGCCTGCTCTTTTCATCAGCAAGGCCTGCTTGTGAAGCTCATCCCCGGGGCACTAGGTAAATACTGGCTGACAGCAGAAGCGTGTTCTCTGAGCGGCTGCACCATAGGGCTGGTTCTACAGTAGTGCGGTCAGTTGTCCAGTTGGCGCAGCATGGACAGGTGACTTCAGGAACCAGGAAGCACTATGAGGAAGACACCATCTGGACGCCATAGCAGCCCATGTGTTTCACTCAGCCATCAACACTGCTAAGAGTTATGTGCTCTGTTCTTTGCACTCCTACCTCTCTGGTGAACATAGCACCCACTTGAGCTTCAGCCCAGGAGTGCATTCCCCAGACTCCCCAGCCAACCAGATTCCAAATCCTGCTAGCTTCATGTTCAACTATCCCCAGACTCCCCAGCCAACCAGATTCCAAATCCTGCTAGATTGATGTTCAACTATCAATAGACCGGCAGAAACTATTTTACTATATAAATACTACATGCTAATTACAGAGAAAACAGAAAATGCTTATGAAAGAGAAACATAGTTTGGGGAGGTACAATCACTCACTGTCTCAACCTCAGAGAGACATCAGTTAGTTTTTCATGTATGTATGTCTGGGGGACTTCAGTTCATGACTTTCCACCCACTTTCCATCCTCTCGGACGTTCAGCTACCCAGCCCTCCAGCTCGCACGCCTTCCCTGCTCTCGTGCGGCAATTAGATTGTTCTTATCAAAGGACTCAGTGGAACACGTCACTTTTAAGTGCACCAGTGATCCCTGTCATTTACAGTGACAAGTCCACCTCCTCCTTTGCTGTTTTGGTTTCTACGGCTCCTAGTTTCTCCTTACAATCCAGCAGCATGCCCCGCCGCCTGGAGGTCCCTAGCTTCATGCCTCTCTGCCTAAAATGCTGCTCCCTGCCTGCCCTAGCCAGAGCTCCTTGAGTCTCATCTTGTCTTCTCATCTTTGTGTTCAGGCATGGAGCAGAACTCCCAGAGTGAAATAACACTAAGCACAGGGTGTCTTCAGAAGGCAAAGGGCACAGCAGCCAAGGGGTCCGCAAGCACAGCAATCACCCAGAAAACTGAAAGTTACATCACAAGATAAGATTCGCGGTATAGGACAAGGAAGAAGGTGACAGGGCTTCTTGCTAGTATCAAATGATTTTCCCATGACTTGGGTTGCTGTTTTCAGGACGGTGGGGGATAGTTATTTTGATAAGACCAGAGGAAAAAAGGAGGGCTAACTAGGAAGTATCTAGGAACAAACAGAATCGGTCCAAGAGCATCCCTGTGTGCAGAGGGCACGGGATACCTTAAAAGTATCGTGATCCTCGGGGGAACTCACTGACTGAGTGAACGAGCTCTTGGAAAGGGCTTGGGGAATCGCAAAGACTGGGTGAAAGATCCCACCGACATATCGAAGCCCTGTAACCCCACAAATCGTGCACTGAGAACACCCCAGCTGAGGTACAGCTGTTGCTATCCCATTTGGATTATTCTGCTTCCTTCTCACAACTCTGAGAACTAGATGCTATAAACCATAGTTGACAAGGCAGTACAAAAAGAGGAAATGACCTGATTATGGGGGCACAGCTAGTGGATGGTGGCCCTGGGAGCAGAAGACAATTCTGACTCGGTTCGTCTGGGCTGGGACGTGAGTTTGCATTTCCAAGCAAGTCCCAGCAATTACTAATGCTGCATGCTGGTTCAGCACCACTATGCAAGGCAAGGCCTCAGAGCACCTGGTCAGTAGGGAGCTGCAGCAACTGCATCCACAGCCTTCCCGAGAACTCTGAAACAGTTTAAATGCCATGGAGGTGTGAGTTACTTCTAGCAATCCCATACTTTTGGGGTATTTGTAATTAGTAATACAGGAAATGTCCATGTGAGATACCGAAAACCACATTGCCAGCCCGACTACACTACAGACTTACTGATTATGTTTTTTGATTACTTAGTTTTGAACATATGAGCACGGCAGAGGATGACACAGGAAGACATATTCCTGTACCCTTCACCCCGGGAACATAAGTGATGGGCGCTGGGGTCACTACTTCCAGTAGCAGTAAGAGCCATTCAGCAGAGTTATGGGAGAGACCAATGACTGCATCCAACACTACGGCAAAGGCAGGAGCTTAGCATTTTCATCTGACAGTGACCTCTACCATTGTCACTCTGCCTATGCAGCACTCTGAGGGCTGCTGGCCTCCTCTCCCCAGCCAGCCTAGGCTCCACCTCCACCGCTCTT